TTTTAAGCTTCCACTAGCGAGCGATTTTTGCCGAGGCAGGTGGAAGACGTCTAGGGTGATCAAAACAACACCTGGCGTGAGGGTATGAAAACTCTCACCAGGACACTGGGTCACACAGAAACCATTAGGCTCCCTGGATGGGAACCTCCAGATAATCTTAACGGTGGTTAGAGACTGATATGGTTTAGTATTGTCATTTTCCGCCGATCATACAAGACAAGTGAAGAGAAAAACCGCGAGGAGCAGGCTAAGTTTGGCGCTGGTGCTGGATGCATCGATCAAATCTTCACCCTCGACAACTGCTAGAGCACTTTCGTGCCTACCGAAGACCAACGACCATTGTATTCTTAGACATCCGCACGGCCTTCGATTCTGCACTATGTAGCTGTTTGTTGAGAAATGGAGTACCTGAGAAGTATGTGTCGATCCTGAAAGAGTGGTATCGTCATATCTCAGGTCGGGTTAAGGCCTATGGTCAACTTCTTTCACCGTCTCCAGTGGAGTTCGACACGGCTGCCCAATATCACCGTTCATTTTCAACTTTGCCCTAGAGGATGTTCTACGGAATACTTTGTCCGGTCTAGCAAGCGGTGGAGTCGAACTCCTCCCAGGGATTTGGAATATGCCGATGACATCGATTTGCTGGGTAGTCCAAGACGCTTTGAACCGCTTGGCGATAGAAGTATCCAGGTATGGTTTGTGCTTTACGTCCAAATGCAAAGTGCTTGTACAAGACTGACAGGAGCCTGTACCTGCACTCACTCTCTGTGGTGATCAGTTGAAGGTGTTTGAGAGCTTAAAGTACCTCAGGAGCTTGATCGCAGCTAGTGTTGGTTTTGGGAAGGAGATCACATCACGAATAGTGAAAGCCAAAGCAGCTTTCGCCAACCTACGACTTCTGTAGCGCCGCCATGATATTCGACTGTCTCTTAGTGGAAGGGTGTACATCTTTTCGGTTCGTAGTGTACTCTTTTACGGTCACGTAACCTGGCCCCTGCGCGTTGAGGGTTCCAGTCGACTTTCTGTATTCGATCACCGATGTCTCTAAAGCATTACTCGTGTCTCGTGGGAACATCGGGTGGGCAATGCTGAGGTTCGTCATCGTGTGTTGGGTGTGGATAGTCACTCTAACAGAAGTGATCGCTCTACAACGCCTCCGATAGCTCGGCCAGGTTTCGTGTATGCCTACCCATCGTCTACCCTTCCATGCTCTCTGCACATGCTGGGCAAGGCTGAAAGAAGCTCCGGGGCGGTCAGTTCATGTCATGCCGTAAAGGTATGAACAAGCGAGCTTCAACTTTGGCTTCGGTTGATGCAGCCTTCCGGTTGGGCCCAAGAGATAAGGATTGTCGTTGGTTAGAGACGCTAGGAGATATGGCTCAGATTAGAAGTTAGTGGCGGGATTGCGGTACGTACTGCCTGTTGAAGTCTCGTGCCCCATAGGAATGAAACAATGAACTAACACAAAAATATCACAGAAGTATACGGTGAGACAAAAAATCGTGATTCTCGTCATTCAACTTAACTGTCCCCCATTTACTGCTATGTATCCCACCCACTCCCGTGTTCCGTTATTCTTGTTGTTGCGTTGGCACTAAACTTGATCACCATGATCATCAAACGGCGTAATACAGTGAATCGAACTTCACTGATCATTGCCAAACTCATAAGGCACACAAGACATGTGAAAATGTGTCGGTTTTCAGTTTCAATTTTTACAACCATGCTCTTTCGTGCGCCGGTTTTGTTTGCGTTCTTTTGGTGCCTCATTTGGATAAAAGAGCAGAGTGAAGATTGGAATGTTGAAAGCAAATTCAAGCGGAAGATGGAGAATTCATATAG